TTTTGGAGCACTTCATGCTTCCTTCCATAGACGAGCTTTATTGGGATGCTGACTTCATTTTCCAGCAGGACTTGGCACCTGCCCACACTGCCAAATGCACCAAAACCTGGTTCAATGACTGTGGGATTACTGTGCTTGATTGGCCAGCAAACTTGCCTGACCTGAACCCCATAGAGAATCTATGGGGCATTGCTAAGAGAAAGATGAGAGACATGAGACCAAACAATGCAGAAGAGCTGAAGGCCCCTATTGAAGCATCCTGGTCTTCCATAACACCTCAGCAGTGCCACAGGGTGATAGCTTCCATGCCACGCTGCATTGAGGCAGTACTTGCTGCAAAAGGGGCCCAAACCAAGTACTGAGTACATATGCATGCTTATACTTTTCAGAGGTCCGATATTGTTCTATGTACAATCCTTGTTTTATTGATTGCATGTAATATTCTAATTTTCTAAGATTGTGGATTTGGGGTTTTCATGAGCTGTAAGCCATAATCATCACAATTATGACACATCACGGCTTGAACTATCTTGCTTTGCATGCAATGAGTTTATCTCATATATTAGTTTCACCTTTTAAGTTGCTTTACTGAAATAAATGAACTTTTGCGTGATATTTTAATTTTTCGAGTTTCACTTGTAGAAACCATCATGTGAAATGATTCCAGAATCCAATCAGAGCTTGGGAACATGATTGTCTTTAACAAAATCAAGTATCTTCTACTAAAGAAAGAGAAAACCCCCAAAGTGGAACTGGTCCATTTTGAGTATAGTGCATTATATTTAAAACAGGCCATTACCTTATTATTATCTTTCAATGACCTGAACTAGTCTGTAAGCCACAATATGGTTCCTCTGATAATCTGTGGCATAGATAAACATAGCAACTGCATTTTATAAAAAGTCATATTTAGCATGCACTATGAACCCAAAGCTAATGTCAATCACTGGGGGTTTGCTGTAATGTCATGTGCCGTGAACACCCAGTCCCTGTATTTTGAGAGCCCTAATTTTATTTATGAATTCTGTGTGCCTGAAATTTATTCAGCCTCACAGCAGCTGACACAAACTCCAATTAATGCATCCAGGGTGCAACCAACAGTACAAACTAATAAAACATCCGCAGTACAACCATTAACAATAAAACGACCATGGCAAACAATACAAATGACAATAATCAAAATGACAGAGCATCCCCAATAACACTCTAATCCCATAAATTAGATTAATAAATAATCATTAGCGGGAGAGACTGTCCCATGGTAAAATTACACAGCGGCATCGGCAATTGCAGTTACACAGAGCGTTGTTGTTTTTTCAAATCGCTCCATCTTTATTGCCTTCAAGAAACAACCTGCATGGCTAATTCTGGTGGGAAAAAATCTGCTTAAATGAGCTGTGGTTGTGCAGTGGTTAGAGTGAAGTATTATAGGCTACTTCTGCTGCCTGCTGGCTGCCTTTAATTTGGCAGTTCAAACCTCATCAGGCTCAAGGTTGACTCAGCCTTCCATCCTTCTGAGGTGGGTAAAATGAGGACCCAGACTGTTGGGGGCAAAAGGCTGACTCTGTAAACTGCTTAGAGAGGGCTGTGAAGCACTGTAAAGCGTTATTGTTATTGCTATTGTTAAATCAAAGCATTCATAGTGCCCCCCCAAGCCATTCAGAGCTTTAAAAATCAGAAGCTGCCCTTTCAAATGCCCTTGGAAGCTAAGCAGCAACTAGTCCTGGCACCTTGAGCTCCTGGGTAGCAATCTGATCATCTGCATGGGGTGTTCAAAAAACTCACAATGGAGGCATGGCTGTGCCATGGAAGCAACACAGGGTTTTCACGTGCATTAAAAAAATAATAATACAGGTGGCACTTTGATGGCACTGTGGGGACCATCCCTTGTCCTTCTGGACCTCTCCCTGCAGACCTCCTCGACCCTCGCAGTGGCTCACACCCACCACCAAGGGGGCTACAGCGTTTCACACGAACTGTGTTTCTGGGTGGGCTGCAACAACAACAAGCCTATTTATAGCGCTGTGCAGCAACCGACCTTTGGCTTAATCTCTAGGCAACGTACGCTTGCACAAGAGCTGAATTGAACGTGTGAAGCCAACCAGAAAAGCAGAGGTTGGAGACACATTCAAATCTGTGCGCTTGGGCAGGACTGCCTGCCAATGGTGGGTTTCCAATTTTGTTACCACCGGTTCTGTGGGCGTGGCTTGGTGGGCAGGTTTTGCGCCCATGCGTGCAGAGGGTTACCTACTAACCTTCTCCTGCATTCCTGCGCTCTCCCTGTGTCTTCAACAGCTGACGTGCGGCAATCCTCTGTGCCGCGCGAAGCAGCTGAGGTTGAAAAGCAGGAAATAAAGATCAGTATAGAGCCGGGGTGGGTGGGAAGACCCAGCAGCTGATCATCGGAATGAAGTGGTTCGCTCACAGATGATTGTCAGAGCTACGGGCCGAATCGATAGAATACCACCACTGCTGCCTGCGGTCTGTTTGTGGAGACTATGCCAAGCTGCAGGTTTCATGCCCGCGGCTTGCGGTTTCGCCATCAAAACCTAGTTGGAGCGAACCCAGTGAGAGCAGGGAAGGCTGGATTGCTGGAACTGGGGCAGGATCTTGGAGTTCAGAATATAGCTGGAGGTCTCAGAGTCCAACCTCTGGCTCCAACAGGAGACCCTATGCTGTTTCAGACAAGTGGCTGGTCAGTCTCTTCTTAAAAACCTCCAGTGATGAAGCGCCCACAACTTCTGAAGGCAAGCGATTCCACTGGTTTATTGAACAATCAAAACTGTGAGCATCAGTAATGTTCCATCTAGGGGCAGAGTAGAACCTACACAACATGTCAGAGGCGGCAAAATTGTACCAGAAGGCCTATTGGTCTGACCTTAAATTAGATGGCCATTTTGTGTGGCTCTATATCATTGATAGCTGACTTGAGGTCCTCCAGCCAAACTTTTATTGCTTTCAATTTCAGAAGCCTTCTGGAAGCCAGCTAGCTATTCAGCCCTGTGGCAAGGCAGATAGATAACAAGTTGTTGAGAAGATAGATAAATGGGATAGGAAGGGTTAAGTGAACATTTCAGGGTGATCCTGCCCACTGTTTTTAGTTAAGCTTCAGCCATCATTGACAAGCATCCATGTGTCTCTCCAAAATATCACCCATAGAACATAAAACATCGAATGACCAGGTTGAAAGGGACCTCTGAGGTCTTCTACTCCCACCCATTACTTCAGGGAGAAGTTTTAACAGAAAATAACAGATTAACAGGGTTGGAAGGGACTTTGGAGGTCATCTAGTCCAAACCCCTCCTTCAAGCAGGAGACCCTATGTAATTTGTCTCATTTAGCAACAGAAAATTTGGGCTCAGTTGTGGTCATAAGTCAAGGACTGCCTGTGCTTCATGTGATTTTGATGTTTACACAGGTAGTCAACTTACGACTGCAACTGAACCCAGAATTTATGTTGCTAAGTGAGAAATTTGTTAAGTGAGTTTTGCCCCATTTTGCAACTTTCCTCACTACATTTGTTAAGCAAATCGCTGAGGTTGTTAAAATTAGTAACACGGTTGTTAAGTGAATCTGAGTTTCCCATTAACTTTGCTTGTCAGAATGTCGCAAAAGGGAATCACATGACCCAGGGACACTGCAACCGTCATAAATATGAGTCAGTTGCAACTACGATTTTGGGTTTTACTCGTCAGATTGATATGTGTTTATATAGCTTATTATTACGGAAAAACAAAAAGTTGTGGTTCGATGTTAATGTTTATTTTACGGCAACAGAGGGAGTCCTTTTCCCCAGCCCCTTTCTCACTTCTTCTTCCCTCCTTTCCCCTCACTGCCTTTCTGTTTTCTTTTGTAGTTGGTATTGTTGGAGGGAAAACCCATCTTGTTCAGTTCCAGTCCAGGAAAAAGGTGTTGAAAACAAAATGGAGGCTGAAGGCTGATCGGAAAGAAGGTCCATTTATTAATGATCAGAACCACCAGGGTTTGTATTGTGTCGTGCGGAAGAAGGAGCCAGAGACAGGGATCCGCACAACTGTTTACTGTAAGTAATTGATATTCCAAACAGCAACACGAGTGCTAACAGCTGGTGGGCTCCCTTATATAGGGGTTGACTGCCATGCCGTTAGCCAATCATTTTATTGTATTTTCCTGCGCTACTCACCGTGGGTTATTCTGCATCTGTGTCTGCGCGGACACAACAGTTTGTGGTTCTGGGGGGAGCTGACAAAATGGAGTGTAGAATGGGTGGGTTTTTATAGCTTCTGGATTCCTGTGGGGTCATGTAGAGGTCATGGCTGGCTCTATAGGCAAAAGGGGAAAATGCAAACCCCAGGTGTTGGTCCGAGCTAGTTTTGTCAACCTTTGGCTTGATTGTGTTCCTGTCTGACCCAGTCTTTCTGAATGGATTACCAAATCTGCATTTCTAAAAACTCAGTTTCTGTGTGGGACAGGGAGAGTAGGGGGGGCCGGGTCATGGTTTCTGCCTCCTGGAAGATTTCCCCCCCCCTCCTTTCTCCTTTAAGGGAAATATTTTATCCTTTTTTTTAATATTTCCCAAAATATTTCATTCTCTATGGGTGGGGGCTACCCACAGTGTCTTATTTTATAACCTAACCAAATGTTTGTTTTTTAATAAATGTTTTTCAAAATATTTTTTAATAAAGAAAATGTTTTTAACGATCCTTAAGTCACTTTTCCTTCCACGCCGTTGGAACTTAACAAACGAAGCGTTGTAAGTCGAGGACTATCCGTTCGTCTTAAAGCGAGAGCCAGCAGGCCGAGGAAGCGAGGCTCCTTTGGCCTCAAGCCGCTCGGGAAGAGGAGGAGGAGGGGGACGGAGGAGAGAGAGAGAGAGAGAGAGGGGACGAGCCGAAACGGGCATCGGGACCGCGGAGAAAGCGCCTCCCGCTCGGTCCCCTCCTCGGCCCGGCCTCTCGCCGCCAATGGGCAGCCCCGGGCGGAGAGCAGCGGCGCCCAATGAAACGGCGGCAGGAAGCGGAGCTAAGGCGCACGCGGAGCCCGCCGGAGGAGGCTTGGCCTGGCTTGGCGGCGGATCCGCTGGAGGAGGAGGAGGTGGAGGTGAGACGGAGGTGGGCGGCGAGGGGAGCCGAGTCCCGGCCGTCGGAAGCTCCCTTCCCCACCTTTCCAGCCCGCTGGGGGCGACTTACACCCGGGTGTGAGTTCGGAAAGGCCGCCTGGCGTCGGCTCCCCTTGCACCGCCTGGCCGGAGCTTTTCGGCCAGAGAGGATTCCGACCTTGGGAGGAGGACGGATCCGATGGAGGTCGCGGGCGGCGTTGCCAACGGGGCTGCTGCCGCTGCTGCTGCCTTGGGATCCCTGGCTTGCGCATTCCGGGCGCCCCCTTTGGAAAAGAGCCCGGCCTTGGACCGCTGCGGTGGCAGCGCTTGCACGGGCGGGCGGGGTGTGTGTGTGTGTCCCCGTCCGTCCCCAACCCGGAGCTTCCCCGAATTGGAAGGGAGGCGAGGGGTTGAGGAAGGCCGCCCACCTTTGCGTGGAATTGGGCGCGATCTTTGTGGGGGGAGCAGAGAGGAGCAAAGCCGTGTTTGGAAGCAGAGGCTAAAGGGTGTTATAGTTACGGAGTTGCCAGCTGTCGACAGGGAGTTTCATTCCTTCTCTTGGGTTCTAGATCCAGATCCTAATTCTGGATCTTGCACCGCGTGGTTACAGTTTTAGCCGGTCCAAAAAAAGGGATCTATCTATCCAGTTCCCACTGGCTTGGTGGAAAAGATAAGAGGAAACCACCCTGGCTAGTTATAAATTAAAGACTAAACCCTTTGTGCTCCAGTGGCTTGTGCAAGTTTAACTTTGGGTCTCCTTTTGTTTTTAGTTTCTTTTGTTTGGTTTGTCAATTGCTTTTACAAGATAATAGGTATGAGTAAAAACATAGTTATGAATACATGGATACATATATAAGAAAAATAAAAAGAAACAATAGGACAGGGAAGAGAGGCCTGTTGGTGCGCTGATGCACACCCCCTACAGACATCTTAGGAAAGGGGTGAGGTCAATAGGAGACAGTCTGAGGTTAAAGTTTTGGGGGTTTCCTTGAAGTGTCACTCAACAGTTTTGCTCCCCCAATCTGGCAATTTCTACCTGTCTTTAAAAATACCACGGCTAGACTTTCTGAGATGGCGCTTGTTCCTGGAGGATTGAGAAAATGGACCAAATGTTTAGAGCAGCGGTTCTCAACCTTAGCAACTTGGAGATGGGTTGACTCTAACCCCCAGAAGCTGGCTGGGGAATTCTGGGAGTTGAAGTCCACACACCCTTCAAGTTGCTAAGGTTGATAAAAACCAATTTAGGGGCTCTGCAAGATGAGGGTTTTTTTTTTTTTTTGCTTGCCTAACCTCTTCCTTAAATTGAGTACATAAGTTATTTTTTAAAGGCTGCAAAACCAACCTGGCTGCTGTTGGACTGAAGATGCCTTCCTCTTTTGATTCAAAATGCAGATTTTTTTTTTTGTAAATTTTATTGGTTTTTAAAAACAAACAAAACATAAAAAATCTTTTTTTGAAAGCAGCATAATCCCGGGTTACATCTCTTCGTACAGACACAAATTCAAGTTCATGCTCATTTTTATATTCCATTCCATATCTTATTAGTATTCTACATTTTCTATGTAGCTTCTGACTTTTAACTTTCTTAATTTTATTTTATTTCATCTCAATTCAAATCATTATACTTATATTCTTTGTCTGTCCTGTTTCAACTGTCTACTATCTTTTCTCATTAAACAAAATTTCTCCTGTAGTCACTGATTGGGATATGACGCCTTTATATCTTTCCCCTAAAATTATAACACTTAATATAATACATAACTTCCATTCAGATTCTGCTTGGTACATTCTAAAACTACACACTATATTCTTAAAAAAATTATAAATGTATAATATAGTTAAAACAACAATCCATTCCAATTCAATTCTATCATTAATATTAATATTCATTTAAGTCTTAACATTTTGCACATTACTTTTCAAATAAATACCATACTTTTATGGGAACATTTATAAACTTTCCATAGTTAATTCCCCCCTTCTTCACTTATATTTTATAAAACATTGACTAATTAAAATGTTCCTGTTCCTGATTCAATTTTCTCATTTATTTTATTTCATTTATTTTATTCACAAACATTTCACTAAATTATACTATTTTATCCCTCTTATTAATCATATATTGTTTCCAATTTTCTAACATTATTTCTATTACAAATATAACAATACAATCTTATGTACCTTCACAGAATCCCTTTTTCAGTTAGATTTTCACCCATTATCTCTAAATAAGTCCTGTTTCTTTATATCTTGCTCCAAACCTTTGTAACTTCTCTTCCTTTCCTTCTTCCCTCTCTTCTTCCCTCTCCCCTTTTTACCCCGCTGTCTCTCCACCTCCATTACCCTCTTCTGTATTCCCCTTTTCTGTTGCTTTCCAACATTATATCCACTTTTCAAATTATTTTTCCCCTTTTTGGCTGCTTTTCTAGGTCTTAAATTCTCCATTCTCTTTCCCCCCTTTTCTTTCCCACATAGAGTTACTTGTTCATTAAAGATGGCTTCTTCTTTGTGCCAGTCTTGTTTTGCTTGTTGTTTCTCGTGATTGCAGATCTCCATTTCTAGGAATTGAAAAACGAAGCCAAGAGAGCCCTTCCCTTCTTGTGAATCTTCTTTATATTTTTTTAAGTTCCATTTTCAAGCCACCCAGAAGCGATGCCATTGTAAAAAAATTTTAAACAACCACCCAATTGTTTTTAGTCATTCAAATATAATAACCAAAAATCCAAAAGTCACCAAGCAATCCAAATACACACAAGCTGTTTCTTTTTACACTTTCTTCTTTTTTCACTTTCTCTTCCTTGGGGTTACTATTTAGTTGCAAAGTTCCAGTTAAAATGTATCTTTTAGAAGTCTTACTGAGATTTTACTTTAGATTCTTTTGAAATCCAGGCAGTCTCCTCCCTCCAGATCCTGCCCTTATTCTTTTCCTCTCCCTTCCTCCTTATAGAAAAAAAAGTTTTTAATGTCCAGAAATCTCTATTGTCCCTTTGGCATTTAATTATATTTTCAGCTTAATTGCCTATTGATGCCAAAGCGGATTTTTCGGATTTCTTATTCAGATCTCTTGGTTGTCAATGTAAGGAAGGAGAGAGAAGAAAAAAAAACCTTTCCTTTTTCACTTTCTTCCGCTGCTTCCGACTCTTCTTTGGGAGCGATGTAATCTTTTATAAAATTTATGTTCCAGGGTACCTTAATTGTTGTTTTTTCAGCTTAACCCGGTCAGCCAAAACTTTCACTTCTTATCTTCCTCCTGCACTTTCTTTTCCAGTTGAGTTCTTCTTTGAGGCGGCCATTTCTGACCACCGCTCCTACCGCCTTTGGGAAAGGGAGTTTGGCCAGCTGAGGAGGAGAGATGCGGCTCTCCTCGACCCTGCTGGTGATCTCCCCCCTCTTCGCCACCTCTATGGGGTGGCTTAGCCCCAAAACCAGTCAGCTGGGGAGCTCCAGCGGCGAGCCCAGGCAGAAACCGCGCACGATCGCAGATTCCTGCCTGTCGCCGAAGCCCTTCAAACCGGAACCTCAAAATGCAGATTTTTTTTATTCCCCCAAGGGTGGGCTGTGATTTCTCCCAAAGAGAGAGGAAAGCTAGGTTCTCCCAAGCCTCTCTATGGAGAATATAGATTTCATATGGATATTGTGAAGCAAAAATATGAGGTTTCCTATGTACAAGTGTGGGGTTAGCCACACAAAATGTCTTATGTTCAAGAACATTCTCTTGGCTTTACCACACACCTTTCTTGTAGTATTTCCTTGAATGCAACTTTAATTTTGGGGTTCTATCTCCAATAGAAGGCTAAGAAGAACTAATGTCTGGTTTTTCCTATCTCTGTCTGTCTGTCTCTCTGTGTCCAAATTGCATGGCCTTCTCAATTATCTTGGTGTGGGATGCTGTTGTTCTTTGAGGCTGGGTACTTGAGACTTTCATGGCCTTGTTCTTGAGCAGTGGAGAAAATCCACTTTTGCTCAACTTCATTTCTTTCCTGCTGTCGGATTTTTCAGGCTTCCACTTGGTCTTTGTCTTTTTTTTTTTAACACATGGCAGCCGCTCAATCAGAATTACCTCAGGATTTGGAGCAAGGTATTGTCAATATTTGGAAGTTACCCATCTCCCTTGTTCTCATGCATCTCAATCAGCTGCAATAAGAGGTTTGGTAAACTTTCCCTTTTCAGTATTGACTCCAAGATGTGGAAACAGACCAAGTCAGCTCCAAAGCACTTTAGAAATCTGCTTACGTCAACCTCCAGCTCAACCGATTCCCTGCAGAGAAAAATCAATAAGGCTCCATCCTAACAAGGATTGTTGATGGGTAATGCAACTGTGGAAGTGATTGGAATTGGATTGGTCTGTTTCTCGCAAAGGATCAGGTTTGCTAGTTAAGAGTAGAATAGAGTAGAGTAGTGTAGAGTAGAGAGCTTGGGGTCTTCTAGTCCAACCCCTTGCTCAATCAGGAAAAACCCTATACCATTTCAGACAAATGTTTGTCCAATCTCTTCTTAAAAACTTCCAGTATTGGAGCAATCACAACTTCTGGAGGCAAGTTGTTCCACTGGTTAATTGTTTTAACTGTCAGGAAATTTCTCCTCAGTTCTAGGTTGCTTCTCTCCTTGATTAGTTTCCATCCGTTGCTTCTTGTCCTGCCCTCAGGTGCTTTGGAGAATAGCTTGACCCCCTCTTCTTTGGGGCAGCCCCTGAGATATTGGAAGACTGCTATCATGTCACCCCTAGTCCTCCCTTTCATTAAACTAGACATACCCAATTCCAGCAACCGTTCTTCATATGTTTTCTCCATATATAGGTCTTCTCCAAAATGCAGGTCTTCCACTGGAAGATTACTAGCATATGGAATACAGAACTCCTGAATATCTTATGTTTAAGTTTGATGTAGTAGCATGGGGTTGGAAGGCCCTTAGGTTCTTCTAATACAACCCTCTGATCATAGCAGGAATCTCCATACCCTCCTGGACAAATGCTATCCAATCTTTTCTTGAATACTTCTACTTATGGCATGCATATCCCTTCTATAGCTTTCACCATCAGGAAATTCCATCTTAATTTGAGTTTAGATCTCTCACTGGAAATAAACAGGAATTTCCTGATATGGTAGAGCAGGGAAGTGTAGCTAGCTAGAGTTTGGCTGTTGAAAGCAAATGTAGAGTAGAATAGAATAGAATAGAATAGGAATAGGAATAGGAATAGAATTCTTTATTGGCCAAGTGTGATTGGACACACAAGGAATTTGTCTTGGTGCAAATGCTCTCAGTGTACATAAAAGATATATTAGTCAAGAGTCAAGAATCATAAGGTACAATACTTAACAATAGTCATAGGGTACAATAAGGTATCAAATCGTACTAGGAAACAGTCAATATAAATCGTAAGGATACAAACGACAAACTTACAGTCATGCAATCGCAAGTGGGAGGGGATGGGTGATAAGGAGTGATGAAAAGATTAATACTGTAGTAATAGTAGACTTTGTAAATAGTTGGACAGTGTTGAGGGAATTATCTGTTTAGCAGAGTGATGGTATTCAGGAAAAAACTGTCCATGTCAAGTCATTGAAGTCCAGTCAAAGTGTATTGTCCCAAATGTGCCTATTCCCAATCAGAGAGAGTTGTAAGTTTTTGGCTACCTTCTAAATATAGCTGGCACCGATCAGAATTAACTGCAGAATCTAAGGTGACCAAAGATAATAGTCTAACCTAGAAGTAGTCCTCTACTCTCATGGTGCTGTTCCAAACAGGTAACCAACCTTCTGTTTCTTTCTATGTCTTTGGCTATAAATACAATAATATTGACACTTCCGAAGACTTGGAAATCAAGTTGTTGGATTAGAGACATTAGAGAAAAGCAGAGGAGTTCCACCATGATCTCAGTGTTAGATCAAAGTTGCCACTAGCTCTTTCTCTTCACTTGCACTGATTTGTCTAGAGCAGTGGTTCCCAAACTTGGTAGCTTTAAGATGAATGGATTTTGGCACGGCTGGTTGGGGAATTCTGGGAGTTGAAGTCCATACATCTTGAAAGTTGCTAAGGTTGAGAAACAGTAGCCTAGAGAGTTGGTGGCATTGCTGTCCTTCCTAGACAGAAGAGGTCTGGCTTTAGGTATCTGTGCTCAGATAATTTTACAAATAAATCATTTTTTTCTGAAAATTCCAACTGATGCAGAGTATGTCTACTTCCCTGCACCTTGGAATTATTACTGGGAATCTAATTAGCTGTTTTTAAATAGAAACTTAGGTTTCCGGTACATTTCCAAATACAGTACAGGATGCAGGTGTTTGCTTTAAAACAGAGGTCTCCAAACTTGGCAACTTTAAGACTTGTGGACTTCAACTCCCAGAATTCTCCAGCCAGCTGGCTGAAGAATTCTGGGAGTTGAAGTCCACAAGTCTTGAAGATGCCAAGTTTGGGGGGCACTGCTTTAAAAAATCCTGGATAATTTGGGACCTTAACAGCTGTCAGAATAGTCTTTCAAGATTCATAGGTAATTCCAAGAAGATAGGATGTGTTTTGAGATAAAAAGCAATTTTGGGAAGGACTTTCTTAAAATTGGTGTCCATCTTTGGAACTAAAAGTTAATGAGGGCCACTTAGTTCATGTCAATTGCCCTCTTGATGTTTTAAAAATATGAAGAATTTCTGATATGGTTTTTCCAATGCGCCTTCTGTCTAAAATGTATATTTTACAGTACAGTTCTTACTGGCATTCTTCTGAAAAGACACCTGAGTTTGAATGATAGTTATATATTATACTGAATTGGCTCATGTGGTTTTGTAAACTTGTTTTCCTCAAAGCCAGCTAAACATTTTTCTTCTGTTCAATCTATGCTTACATTTCAGTATCCCAGCCTATTGGGTTGGAGTTATTAAAATAAAAAAACAAACAAACAAACCCTGTTATTCAGAGAATATATGCCCAAACAACCATAGAATATCTGAATGTGATGCTTTGATTTACATCAAATTTCTTTTCCCACACTAAAGGAAAAAATAAAGAAACAACCTGTGAATATGATCTAGTTTTAATTCAATTACAATGTTGACATTAAAGTTATAATGTTTTAAAGATCTATTAACTTGTTTCTTTTTTAAAAATTTTCATTTTCAAGTAAGGTTTAATTTGGCATTTTAAAAAAATTGTTCAGTTTTTAATTTCTTTCTTTAGTTTCCAGTTTTTCTTTTCTTTTAACTATAGAAATTATTGTGTAGTTAATAGGCTACATTTTTTAAAAGAAAAATATAGTCTTTTAGTGCCTTATATTAGTCACTTATACCGTATTTCCCCATGTATAAGCACCCCCTTTGTATAAGCCACCCCCCCAATTTTTGGACTGTGAAGTTTTGAAAAAAATATTTTATTAGAGAAACAAGTTATGAAGAAAGAAAATTTACAAAGAAACAAAATTCGACGTCTAGATCTACAACTTCGGTCATGACGCCGAAAGCGGTGCGGGCGACGCTAGCAATCTACGCATCGGAACGAGAGTAGGAACGAAGCATTCAGGCCGATGCCTAGCGTATGCATTTCTATCGCATACTCGCACTCGTAATCGTATCATCACGTACAATTTTTACAAAAAAGTATAGCATATTGCTGGAAAACCAGTTTATTCCTACTTTATTATTTTATGCATTTTTCACGTATAAAAACTGTACCTGCTTTGTATATGCCACCCCCCTACTTTTTGGGCTTGAAAATTTTGGAAAAAAGGGGTGGCTTATACATGGGGAAATACGGTACTTTTAAGAAATGTTAATTGTAATTTTGTTTTGTAAGGGTGGTAGAAATATATAAAATTGTCTTTTAGTGCCTTATATTAGTACAGGTAGTCCTTGACTTACGATCACAATTGAGCCCAAAATTTGTAACTCAAGGTTGAATTATGGAGTCTTAGGTGCTCTATGAGCTTGGTGGTTTTCTTGCAGACATTTCATTGCTAAACTAGGTAATGTCATCAGTAACAATAGAACATCTGCAAGAAGGTTCTAATTCTAATTAATTCTGATTCTAATTACCAACCACCCAGCTCAGAGAACACCAAAGACTCCACAGATGCTTTTAAGCAGGTGCTTTAAATTGGGATTTCTGGACAGGCTGATCATAGCTGATGAGTATAGTTTCCCCATGCAATCCCATTTTCTGAGCACGCCTCAAGTGTCACAACAGGGAGTCCTGAACTTATGACTATAGTTGAGCCCAACATTTCTGTTGTTAGGTGAGACTTTTGTTAAGTGAGTTTTGCTCCATTTTAAAGACCTTTCTTTCAATCACAGTTGTTAAATGAATCACTGCAGTTGATAAGATAGTAACCCAGTCGTTAAGTGAATCTGGCTTCCCCATTGACTTTGCTTGTCAGAAGGTTGCCAAAGGGGATCACATGACCTTGGGATATAGCAACAGTCATAAGTACTGAATATCTGAATTTTGATCACATGATCGCGGGGATGCTGCAAAGGTCGTAACTGTGAAAAACTGATCATCAGTCCCTTTTTTCAGTGCCGTTGTAACTTTGAACAGTCACTAAGTGAATGATTGTAAGTCAAGGACTGCCTATATAAGGTTTGACGGAGTTGCTGGTCCTTCAACAGTGTCTTCCTTCACTTCTACAGAACCTGCTGGAGTCATGTGGCCCATCTTCTGGGCGAGCATACGAACCTATGCTCCCTACGTCACCTTCCCCATAGCCTTTGTGGTCGGGGTGGTGGGCTACAATCTTGAGTGGTTCATCCGGGGCAAGCCCCCTCCACAGACCCCCGAGGACGAGAAGAGCATTTCGGAACGACGCGAGGACCGTAAGCTCCAAGAGAGCGTTGGGAAGGACCTTACCCAAGTGGTCAGCCTCAAGGAGAAGCTGGAATTTGCTCCCAAAGCTGTTCTTAACCGTAACCGGCCGGAGAAGAATTAGGGAACCTGGTTTGTTTCCTTGTTGGCCAGTTACATTTTCTTTTATTTGAGGCCTGAATTCTTTGATTTAGAATGTTGGTTTCCTACCATTGTTGAGCCTATCAAGCCATGCAATGTATTATGTTTGCCATTCTCACCAGGTTAAGCAGATTTCTGCAACTGCGGGGATCCCACCGAGATGAGGATGAACTTCACAAATCTTGATATTTGGCGTTGGCTTCAGAATCTCTGATCTTCCATAAAAGGTTGTTTATCTAATGGAACGGCCTCCATACTTACGGCCGAAGCTCAGTTAATGGACATCCAAAAGATTAATTCACATCCAAGGCAGGATTTGATTCTTAAAGGGATTGTTGCAAAGTATGTAGACCTCTTTTAAGGGAAGATTTCTTCTTCAGATAGCTTGGAGGCTTTTTGACTATGGACAGGCGAATGAAAAACAGTTCCTGTTTACGCTGGAAGCCTCAGCTCAAGGGGGCCACTGTGGACCATATTTGCACTCTCCATTCTCAGGAAATTGTGTATTTTTTTCCCTGGAAATTTATGTTGGGGAATTTGTGCTGGGTTTCTTCTTTTTTTTAAAGAATACCAACCCCCCTGCGCAAATTAAAGATGTGATTCACTTTCCATGTTTGGGGGGCCCTGCATTTTATACCAGAGATGGTGGGTGGGAGAGGATAAATCTATCCGCAGGTTGTGTTAGCTGTGCCTTTGCATGCAGACTGCTTGAGAGTCTCACCTGTGTATTAGAGGTTCCTCAATAAACAGGAATGAAGGAGAAATTTTACCAGAGAAGTTCATATTTTGCTTGCGGATCTTTCTCTATAGCAGTGTTTCGCCAACTTCACAACTTGTCTGGACTTCAACCTCCAGAATTTCCCCAGCCAGCATGCTGTTTGTGGACTAAGCATGCAATGCTGGGGAATTCTGGGAACTGAAGTCCACACTTCTTAAAATTGCTGAGGTTGACAAACACTTACTCTACAGGACACAATTCCAAGAAAACTCAAATATATTGAGTTGCCTATCACACAGGTAGTCCTTGCTCAGCGACCGTTCAAATTTATGACGGACCTCCCCCAAAGGTACATAGGACCCAAGTTGGAAGAATTGTACGCCCCTGCACCCCTGGCAGTAATGTGATTGCAGGTTTGGGTATTTGAAGTTGGCTCATATTTAAGGGCATTGGGACTGTCGTGGTCTTGTGACCGATTTTCAGCAGTGTTGTCTGCTTCCCTGCATTGACTTCTGGTTTCCAGCAAAAAAAAAAAAATGCACATTAGATAAAACGGACTTGCTTAAGAAATGCAGTATTTGCTTAAACAACCGACGCAAATAAGCTCGTAAAGTCAGGCATAGTCATGTGATGAACTGCTTCATGACTGTCACAACTTATGACCATAATTCCAGGCGCAATTACAGTCATAGATTGTGGACTACCTGTATTATGCTGTCGATCAGAATCACACGAATCTCACCAGGCTCAAGGTTGACTCAGCCTTCCATCCTTCCGAGGTCGGTAAAATGAGGACCCAGATTATTGGAGGCAGTATGCTGACTCTTTAAACAGCTTAGAGAGGGCTGTAAAGCACTATGAAGCGCTATATAAGTCTAGGTGTTATTGCTATTATTGAATCCATGGGGGATATAAAAAAGAAAAGATTTGGAGTTTTGAGCACTGAAAAATTGATGGAAGGTAGAATTCTGCATTTTCTTTCTTCTGTGCATGAACATAAATGCACCCCTATAGACCCAGAAAGGCCGCCACACAATACAAACACAGAAGTATAGCTATATTCATGTAGCATCTTATGCTGACCAGTTAATTAGGAACTACATACAGAACATTGGCATACAGTTCATTAACTGAATGAGTTGGAGAAATGCAACACATTTAATTGAGGAAACAGAGCAAATTAATCCAAGTTGGGAAAGTTTGATTTTGGCAAATGTGTTGTTTCGTTTGTTACTGACCTGATGAAGCTTGAGGGCTGCTGCTGGGATGGGATGCTTATTTATTTATTTTTCTAAATGAATAAAATCAACTTTGAATCTGCTGGAAATGTAACTTAGACTCAGACAGTTCAGATGCCTTTTTAATACCCTACCAACTCTGTGCTTCGTTGCAATTTTGCAATTATTGCTTTCCAAATCAAAAGAGAAAAAATAATTGCTTTATGCAGTGTGTGTATGAGAGATTATTTTAACGTGTGTGTGTGAGTGTGTACCTTGAAATCAAGATTTCTGAAGTGATTGGCCCCTGCCTCCTTCCTAGAGTTGAGAGACTGACTGGCTCAAGGTCACCAAGCTGGCTTTGTGCCTAAGGCAGGACTAGAACTCACAGTCACCCTGTTCTTAACCTGGTATCCTAACCACTAAATCAAATTTGCTCTTTCAGTTCTACTTCTCAGCTAATACCTTCTTCTATTAGAATTTAGCTCATCTATAAAAATGTATTTTTTGGGAAGTGAAGCTGATATTGTCTGTAATTTGGTTCACTCAACTGTTAAACCTGGTTTGCTTTTGGAATCCCCCCCGCCCCCCATGAGACACTATCGACTCCTGGAGACTGCCAGAATCATCCCTGTAGTTTTCTTGGCAAGTCTTTAGAACTTGCCTCTTTCCTAGAACTGAGATAAAAAGACTGGCCCAAACTTACCCAGCTGGCTTTGTGACTAAAGTGGAACTAGAGTTCCCAGTTGTCCTGGTTCCTAGCCTGGTATCATAAGCACTGCACCAAACTGACTTTTTTGGTTGTGTGTGTGTAATGATATACTATTATAGGAACTATATATGACAAAATCTACAACTGTTCCTGTGAAGACAATCAGCTTTAAAAATAAACATAACCCCATCAAAAACAATTGCATTATAAACAAGGCTACAATTAACATGAAGACAATCAAGGTGTTGTAAATATAGTAACATGAAAGTGAGGTTTAAAAAAGCTAAGGTTACCAGCAGGGCAATCAGAATGACACAGATGGGGATTACATTGTGGTGGCCAGCATTTTTAGTTTTTAAAAATCATCTATCCTGGTTATCACTCCTTGATAGGATTTAAAACATGAAAGGCAGCTGGCTGCGTGGGATTTCCCATAAGTGAAACATCCGCTTGACTTCCAAATTAGGAAGGTGTCGTTTTTTAAAATATATAAATATTGGTGCTGTTTATGTATGTATTAGTCCATTCACTGATTTCAAAGCATTTTAGGGGAAAAAAAAAATCCAAGACCACTGGGCTTGTTCTATTTGCCATCCATTTAAACTTTGCTGCTGTATTCAAAAAATGGAAGAAATGTTTTGAATTAAAGAGTGATGAAAAGGAACTGGTATCCCATCGATTGAGGAAAAGGAACAAGGCGAAGCAAACGACTCAAGAATTATTGTAAGGGTGGAATAATAGTAAAACATTTTATGTTAAAAATGGCTGAAATCGCATGCTTGCTTGCCAAGAATTTACTGTTGTGTACATCCGGGTTGCTGTGTTGAAGGGCACAGGTTAAGCACTTTGTGTTTTGCACATTCTGAAACTGTAGCATCGATGCATTTGCCCAGTTCAAGTTGGTTTTAAATAGTTGATAGAGACCTGGATACTTGTAAATGAAGAGTGCTTTGCTTTTTTTATTTATTCATAGTGTTCTCATTATTAATTATGAATGCATCATACTGCAGTTTAGGAAGTCACAATGATTTATTTGCAGGAGTCTTTCATGGAGTCAATTCAATGCCTCTTCTTTCAACTAACCATAGGCCTGCTTGGATTCTTCACTTACCATATACACGTGGTGCTTGTTTAGTGACTGTCTCATTTAGTGACCATTTGCAGTTGCGATGATGATGAAAAAGTAACTTGGCAAGTAAGCCTTATAGTTAACGGCCATCGCAGATCAGTAAAGCACTTACAGTAAGATCACAAGCATTGTAGTTTGACTGCTTTCTTAACCAAGTAGCCAGTCTCAACTGTGGTTGTTAAATGAGGACTACCTGTGTGGGCAGCAAGTCCTAAAGCAGGGGTCACCAATCCTTCAGACCTCAGGGACCACTAAATTTATAATTTTAAATTCTGCGGACCACTAATATGATCTGCCTAATGATTGGCTGGGTGGGTGTGGCTAGGTGGTGATGTGATGATGGGTATGGCCAATTTGATGTCACGTTGAGGGGCACCTCACTGGCCTCTACCCTGTTTCTCCAACAATACGACCTCCCCCAATAGGAAGTCCCAGCATGTTTTATAGGCATGAAATGAAATTAAGCCCCTCCCCCCAAATTAAGGCCTATATTAAAACATGCAAAATGGGGGGAAATGGTGGGGGGGGGGGCTTGCCGTTAGGAAGTACTTTTGTTGCACACCCGGATATGGTGCTGCCTGCGTTGACCCCAATACGAAGTGCCCCACCAACGCCGAGGTCAACATCCAAGCCGTCGCCGCCTGCCCGAAGATTCAAGGGGGCGGTAATTAAGTCACCCCTGAAAAGATGGCCTAGCCATTTTTTCGGGGCTCAAAAAAAAATAAGACCCGGCCTTATTATATGAGAAACATGGTACTTGCCTCTCCCCTCCTAGCCTCTCCTCACCTGCCCGGCTGGGCTCCTTAGGGCCCCAAATAGGAAGCAGTTATTGGAGCGAAGCAGCTCCCATGAGAAAGAGTTGGAAAAACAGCTGGCTCAGTTCAAATTGGATCTGATTGAGAAGGAGGCTCAGCAGAAGCACCTCACTGAGGACTACGAGCATAGGCTTTCCAAGCAGACCTTTGGGAGTGAAAGGCTAGGTACCAGTGCATGGAGGCTCAGCAAGCTGAGATAGTCAGCCAGTTCCAGGCCACGATGCAGTCCCACTGGAATGAGGCCCTCCGGTTCTTAGCCACCAGCAGAACTTCCCTCCAGCCTTGGCCCAAAGCCCTGCACCAGGACGCTGAAGCAGACCCCAAGTTGGAATTTCTGTCCCCCTCTGACCCACACAAAAAGACTCGGAAGGGGGAGACGTTTGCAGCAACACAAACATTCACTGCACGTATCTGGCCCAGGGGTTTGAGGGCCCCTGATTTAGTGCAATATAAAAAAAAATGCAAATAATTTTTTCTGCAGATACTAAAATTTTCTCACTGACCACCAGTGGTCCACGGACTACTAGTTGGTGACTACTGTCCTAAAGCACACAGTGCAGCAGCTCATTCTTGCAAATTTTTCCTGATGGTCCAATAAGTCCCTTAGCACCAAGTCCTGTCTAATAACATCTGAGGAAAGGCTGAAGATGTAAGAAAGTAAGATGCATGAAAAGTAAAGATGCATGAAAAAAACTGGAGAAAGTATTTGGAGGCATCAAGCCATGTGGATTAACGCCATTAAAATACATTTGAGGATTGTGGTTTTGTTTTTAATCTGCTTTTTTTTCTTCGTAGCTCTATGATATTGGGAATAGAGGAGCATAGAAGTTAATAATTCTTTTTTACTGCAGCGATGGAAAATCCTAGTCTCACTTGAGTCTTTCTTGAGACTTTGGAAAGAGTGCAGAGAAGAGCAACTAAGCAGCTAAGATGATTAAAGGCTTGGAGACAAACATATGAAGAATGGTT